GTATCACGTAAACTCTCAATAACTGAAACTATAAAAATATGAAAAAGAAAGCATTAGGTATAATTTACACATGTAGTAGACATTTGTATATACGTTTCTATATTATTATGTTATACTAACCAGTTAAATTGGTTGTTGTTGTTAAAATGGACTGTTGATTAGTTATGTTGACTAAAGGTTAGACACACTATACTAAATATACTCATCAGTTTATAATAAACAAACCTGTGATGTTTATCAGTTGTCCCCTTCCAATGGCATTAACTGGTTGTATGCATATAGTATATTCATTATTGGGATATAGTCCATTAATAGTTACATTAGTATCAGTTGTATTAATAGTAATATTGTGTATACTAATAATGTAATGTACTGGAGGATAGTGTGATGTATCCTAGATAATTTTAATGATTTAGAATTAATACCTTAACATACCTCTGTGTTATTCCACCATATTGTAATACTATCAGTTGATATCTGATCCCAACTAATATTAACAACTTGAGCTGGTACTATAAGAAATACAATGAATGTGTGTGTTTATAGTACTTACCATTCCATATATACTGTATTAATGATGAAGGAGGTCCGTCTCTTCCAATAGTATCAATAGGAATAATAATAAATGAATAATTAGTACCAATAATAAGAGAAGGAATAGTTGCTGATGATTCATTACTGATCATATGTCCATTAATATTATCATCACTGATTATTGTAATATTATAATATTGAATACAGTGTACTTCATCATTCTTTCCATAGTACCAGTTCATCAATACTGTATTGTTATTAATTGGTATTATCTTTATATTAATAACTGATACTGGTATACCTATACATAGATGCAGTATTATGATACATATGGTTCATGATGTATCTTACCTGCAATATGTACTGTTAATGTGTTACTGTAAGTAATTAAATCTCCAGAGCAGTCAATAACAGTTCCATTGAGTTGTAATGCAACAGACACATTGACACTAGCAGTACTTGTTAATGTATTATTAGTAAAATCAGTGATTGTCAATATAAATCCATTTAACTGATCAATTTGATGATCATTGATTAGGATACGATTTGGACCATTGATTCTCCATGAGACACCACCTCCTTCTTCATAACTAGTAATACAAGTGAATACTACTGTATCTCCAGGACATACAATATCATATGATGGAGAGGACTGGCTGAATGATAGCACTATACTAGATGGTGATGCTATTATTTATGATTAATAGCATAACTGACAAATTATAATGAACTACTTACTATGGACACTGCTTGACAACAGAATAAAAATTATGATAATCATCTTCAAACATCAGCCATACACATGCACACACACTTGTGACCTGTGACACACCCATACATGTAGTTATTCCTTTTTGCATACTAAAGTTCTATTCATTGCTTCCTGTTTATGAATAATGCAGTATACTGTCAGTCCTGCAGTGAGGCCACTCATCGAGTCAAGAGACATTATTCCAAGAACTCAAAGCACTAACTGTTCCAAGAGTTTGCAGATTAAGAACAGAGTTCCTGGAATAGTTGGTTTAGCAGTTAAAATAATGACCACAGACTGATGATTATATAGTGCAGACTCATTGTTACAATAATAGACTGATATCAAAGAATAAAAACAGTTTAGTAGTAATGAACACAGACTCACACATAGCTACTACACAATGAGTTTAAAAATAATCAAGAATACATTATTATGAAGAAGTTCATGTTGGAGCAAATGTAAACTGGAATCAAAGAGAAATTTCAAACTATAGAAAGAAAGAGACATACATCAAACTTCCATGAGTCTACTATTTCAATGATGCACTTACTCTTTCTTGATTTATTCTCAGTGCCAAGTGATGCACCAGAAAGCTTCAACAGTATATGTACATGTACATTATTGTCAAGAGTATGATATACTTACTGTTATCAACGAGACACCTACGGTGCATGGCCTCGCCCCTATAGCTGCTATGGTGCATGCCCACACTGCAATAGCTGTTTGATTATCAGCATGAAGAGAGTCTGCTCAACATTAGCTTCCTGCAGTTGCACTTGCTCTTTAATACCTGCAGAAGTAGCAGCACTGCAGCACATACATGCAAGCAGCTCCAGCCCCTCCCATGCATGTAGATTGAAAGGTGTGGCATTCCAGCAAGAAGACCATGTGAGAAAGAAGCTTCACTTTTTCTGACAAAAAAGTTGCTGCCTTTGTATATTTGAGATAGTATAGGTACTTTAGTACCTATAACCCAGCAAGTTGTTGCTCTAGCACTTCACAAACGAGTGACCTCAACAATTTCAAGTAAGTATAACTCTTCATCAAGTAAGATTTAGAGAAATCTGTTCATATTATTTGAAGGCCATGTTCTAATCTACTGAAAAATGCTACCAGCTATCTCTAAAGTGCCAACACAACGGAACTTGGCCCAACTACTCAATTTTCTTACTTTGAAGCTTCTGTACCTAGAACTTGTATTTGAGCAACACAAAACAGTTAAGAAAGACTTTTTTAAGTCAAAAAGAAAGATCTAGGAGCTTAGAACACGCTGTGCTAAAGTTATTGTTTATTAAAGACAAATTTCAGTTGTACAGAATGAATGAATGAATGACAGACACACACAACAACTACCTATACCTTGCGTAGGCTAGGCCAATAACCCATTATTTACTCTGGCTGATATATTATTGCGTATGTTACTGGTTGAATACTAGTGNGTGGACACTGTGGCCTACTGTCCTTAGGGGCT